TAAATTGAATTTTCTTTTATTTGAAATAATTGTGTTATATTCAATCTAGATCTATATATTGTATCAAATCTATATTATTATGTATAACAATATAATATACCAAAAAAACCGAACTCGATTGTTTTCAGTAACTATATTGAAAATGTTTTTTCTACAAAACTACATGGCAAAATAATAAACATTGGAAAATGTCATACTTTATTATATTTGTAAAAGAATATAAACTTCATTTCATTTGACTTCATTTACAAATCCTGTTTTCGATCCATTCAATTCATATGAAAATTAAGCTATTTTTTAAAATAAATATAGCCAATTGCAGAACGTTTTCATCTTCGAAACTGAAAATTTTAAAAATTTAAATAATCAAATAGTTTACTTGACACTTGGTTTACTTGCACTGTATTGGAGACAATACGGTAATCGGACAGATTATCGTATTTTAGATTACCGAAAAAAGTTGGAAATAATCATTTTTTTTTGAGATAATTTTTTTTTATTGAAGTGATTTTCAAAATTAATTTTTAAAACTTATTTCATCCAAATTTATTCAATTTCAGATTTAACAAATTGTTTGTCAAACAACATCTCCAACAACGACGTTATATTAAAAAATAGAAACTTTTCAGCTTTCAAAGATATTTATGTAAAGTTAACAAGGAAAAGAGTTGCCGAAAATCAAAATTTTAGTACTCGTAATATCCTAACTCCTAAGCCTAAGGGACGATAGTTGTGCGGACTGGAAAAATATAGAAAAAATTTTTCTTCTAGCGTACTGAACTAGATGATAAGTTGTTAGCTTCTAAAATTCCTAGTTTACCTAAGATATCGGCTCCCAGTTCACCTAATGGTTTTGAAAAACAAAAAAAAAACAGGTTTCTGATAACGGTACATTTCATCGGCTCATTTCACTATTACGATTTGTCCGAGCTTTTTTACAATAAAGAAAGCTAGATAATATTTAGATCATAACTATTAATTAAATTATAATTTATTCTTAAGAATATTATTATACATTTTTAATATATATGTATACAATGCGTTTTGTATAAAATATATTTTTATAGAGAAGAATATTAATTATAATTTATTAAATTTTGAACAAAAAAAAAGAAAAACAATTAATATTCTGAAGGACAAACTATATGAGTTTTGAAATTCAAGATTTCATTTGTAAGAAAGTTATAGTTCTAATCAAAGTTAATTTAGATTATACGACAATATTTATTTTGTGAGGGTATGTAGTTATTACACATGTATATACTCACACATATCCTTTTTTTTTTCTTTTGTATACATAATTTACTTTTCAATATTTTCAAAGAAAATCTCTTATGACTCAATTATGATTCACATTCTGGTATTAAATATATATGTAAGAGAAAATATAATCGACACGATATCTAATAGGTACATACATTAAAATTATAATATTTATACAAACAAAATTTCAATAATATATAATATGTGTGTGTGTAAAAAATTTGTAAAAATTATTTTATAAAATAATTTTTAAATTAAAAATTATTGTATTCTTAATGGAAATATGAAAAAAATAGAAAATATTTTAAAATTATATTCCTTGACCAGCACCACGTAAATTTTATAATTTTTCTCTATTCACATATATATGAATATGTATGTAGATATGTATATAAAATAAAAATTGAAATCAATTTTTTTTTTTTTTCATTTTAATAAATACTACATAAATATGACAAAAAAAAATTATAAATAAATTTTAGAAATTTCTTAATTACATTAAATTTAATCTTTAATAAAAAAAAAAGAAAATTATGTATGTATACGTGTAATAAAAATATTTGTACATAAAATACACGCGCAGTACTACATATATTTTTCTATATATACTCGTATATGTATATGTATTCATGTATATATATGGTATATATAAAAATTTATTTTATGATACATAATTATAGAATTATGTATAATTTTTATACGGTTATCTTAATACTTATATGCATACATATATACATAAACAATATATTATTTTATGTATATATATATATGTGTATTTACAATATACTTAAAACAATTTAATGGTAGACAACTCTTATATTGTGTTAGGTTAGAGATATTTTCTGTCTACTTTTAAAATATAAATTTGTCACATACTTATGATGTCATATTCCATTTAAATGTCGACATGTAAAATTTTCTCTATATGTATATATTAATCGGTTCTTTTTTTTATTTTTCGTTTTTTTTTTTTTTCAATAATATTTTTCAGAAAGCAAAAAAAATATTCAATATATATATGATTACAGATCAAATATAATTGTAAATGATGAAAAATATTAAGCAAGAAAATAAAATATACAATTTGTTTTTAATTTAGAAGCTTAAAATTTTTGGAAGTCATTCCAATATAATTTAAAATAATCTTATATGTTAATAACTTTGAAATATTTCAATTATGTATAAATTATTTATTAAAAATTATTAAAGATTTTTAAAAGAAAAAAAACAAAATTACCTGTTTAACCCATAGGTTTGTTGTCATAACTTGATTCTTTAAATTAACCTCAATTAATTGAGATAATTTTAAGCCCAAATATACGGTTAGCGTTTCACTATTATTAACAACTGGTCGTATCAATCGATTGTAATTGCTAAGCAAATCATCGTACAATCGTTTCGAATATGGATTTGCCTCAAAATTTGGAACAGGAACTATATATGTATATTAAAAATATTATTATGTATATTTTTTTATGAAAAAAAAAAATAATTGTAGGATATTTTCATTTTAAAATTCAAGTATACATAAAGATTATAAATTACGAAGCAATACTGCTCTTATAAAATAGAAAATAAAATGTGGATCTTTTATCCATATAGGTCAACAACTTTTGACATTATTTTTAAAAATGGAATATCGAAAGAATTTTTATCGAAAGATTTTTGTTTTTTTTTTTCAAATCTTAGAATCAAAATTGAATTTTATAAATTTAATAAATTTCAATTTAATTAAAATAAAAATATAATTAAAGCAACTGTGTATTTGGGATTGTTTTTGAAAAAAAAAATTTATAAGTACTCATTTAAAGTTAAGAATTTCAAATTTCGTACAAATATTGTATTAAGTACATATTATATATGTATGTATATGTGTTGGTATAAAACAAAATTTTCTGAATAAAAATTTACAAAAAAAAAAAATATCAAACAGAAATAATATGAAAAAAAAATTTTACGATGCTCTTTATTATTAAAATGAAGAAAAAAAAGAAAACAACAACACCACTATAATATTAAATAATAAATGACATTAGAGAAACATCGAAATTTTGAAACATGTGACTTTTCTTTTGCATAATTAAAGGCGCCACAAATAGAAGATGAATTTTTAAAATATTGTTGTTATTATTTTTCATAATATTTTTTTAATTTTTTTTTTTGTTTTTGCTTTCATATTCTTGTTGTATTTGTTTTGTGTGTGTGTTTTTTTTTTCTTCTTTTCGGGTATATTAATCAGCTGATTGTAAAAAAGTTGTACTCTAATGGACAGTAGACATAACAAAATTGATGCGCTTGCGCAAAAGTTGGAAAAAAAAAATTCTCCTGAGGGTTCTTTTGATAATATTATTTTGAATTTTTCTTTTTTTCTGTTTTTGTGGGAAATTTCCTTTTTCCCGTAATGACAGTTGCTTTTGTTGTTGTTAGTAGGTAGTACTAAATTGTTTTTGTTAAAAATATTCCCCTACAAAACTTAAAATCAATAATTTCTCATAAAAATTTATATATGTATGTATACATTAATATACTATATATATATACATATATATATATATACATCATTTTTCTTTTTCTTAATTTTAACAAAATTATATCTTTTCTAAATATTATTTTTCTTGTTTTTTTTTTTTTGCTTTTTAAGAAAATGTTCCTTTAATTTTAACAATTACAAATTTTTTTTTTTTTATTTGTAGGCCAAATTAATTTTCATGTTCCTTTCTTTTTTTTTTTAATTTTTTTTTTGAAAATTTTTTATATTCCATATTATTTTCTTTTTTTCTTTGCTGAAGTACCAGAAGACAAGACAAATCACATATCACGAAGCAAAATTGTACACTTACACATTCCATTTACCACATAATTTGTGGTAATTATTAGCAAAAACGTTATTGTAATCATTTCGTTCCAAAAAAAAATTGGTTTTTTTTTTTTGTTGAAAATTAAAACATAGAAAAAAAAAACCCGAAACGAAATTTAAAAAAGGAAAATTAATGAAAAAAAAAATTTAATTTTTTTTTTTTTAATACTAAAAATTTCGCTTTTTTCCTTTTTTTTTGCGATTCCTTAATAATGGTTAAGGACCCATTTTTATAGCACTACTTAATAATCATTTTGAATACATATATACATAGATATATGTATTTAGAAGTTTGTGTGTGTAAATGTACACCACTTAGAAAATTTTCTTTCTTTTCTTTCTATTTTGTGTGTTCGTCTACACAGGGCGGATGATATCTAGAGACTGATTTTGAAAATAGGGAAATTTTTTTATTATAAAAAAAAGAAAACAAAGAACGTAACGAAAAAAAAAAATGAAAGAAGCAATACACATACACGCACATAAAAAACAACTAAGGGAAAAAAAGAAGAATAGAAAATACACACAGTTTTTTGTTTTTTTTTTTTTTTGTGTTTTTCTTAGCTTCATCGTATGCATTACGAACAAACGTTTATTAAGAAAAAAAAAACAGAAAGGAAAAATAATAGCAAAATACACAAGAATATTACTTATAGCATACTTGCAGGAGATGAGATTTTTTTTCTGCCTTTTTTACAATTTTTGTTGTTTTTCATTTTATTTTGTTAATTTTATTTTTTGTTTTTTTTTTGAAAGTTGTAAAATCTTAAAATTTATTCACAAATACAAAGCGTTACCATCGTTTTTAAATATAAGAAAGTTCATTTCATTTTTTATTTCATGGTTCTCTCGAAAATTCATTCAAAAAAATTTTTACTTTGAGGAATAATGTTAGATTGTCGTTTCACCTCCAAAACTTAATAGATTTCTCTTTTGAAATAGTATTCTCATTCAAAACTCCCAATTCCATTCAGTGACATTCTGAATCTCACTGCATTAAATTTCGATTAATAATTGATTAATCGACTTTTTAACAAAAAAAAAATGAAAATTGCATACTTTCAGGGGTCAGTTTAATTTAAACCAAATTTTTGAAAATTTTAATTTCTAATAATTAATTTACAAAAATTTAAGTATAATAAGGTGGTAATACTTTTGTATATATATATTAAAATTTATGTTCGATAATAACTTATGTTTAAAATACATACATACATATATTATCATTTTATTGTTTTATTTTTATTATTATTGTTATCATTATTATTATTCCATTTTAGTTTCTTTCGTTTTTATATTATTTTTTTGAATATTTTCAATTTAACAATTTCTACGAAAACTAAATGAGTCATAATTTTTTTTCCCTTACAAATTTGTTTTAATATACGTTTTCATTTGTCTGTATTCATCTTATATATTTTACATTCGATATAGTTTCCGTTCTTAAAACTTATTTTGAATCTGTAAACTAATTTAAAATAATTGCATTTAATATATTTATTAAGAGAAAAATAATATTATGATTCACAAATTTTTATGAACTTTAATTGAATATTTAAATTTTATTTACATATATAACTAGTCGCCGAAATTTTATATAAAAAGAAATTAAGGTCGCTAGATAAAATTTTCAATAAAAATTTATTTAGTCTTTGATAAAAATTATAAAAATTCTTTTATACTCGTATTATAAAATGACTATACAAGTAAATATTGGGAGATATACTGCCTCGGCGAGATTCCACCTTGACGCAGTGAGGCAACTTGAATAAGACCAGTGAATTCGAGAGCAGTGTCAGCAGGCACTGCAACTGTGATGCCTGGCAGGTCCATAGCGAAATGGTCGAGAGAGAGGTCCGAAACTAAGAGAATCTCAAATTGCGTGAAGTAACAGATAAAACCTATCTCAGCAGTTACTGCCCCACACCTCCAAATTTGGCGGTGTTATACAGTGCCCATTAGATTTTTTGGTAACCGGGATAGTTTACTGACTGCCGCAAACGTAGTCTCTCTGATACCAGGTCACCTCAAAGAGTATTTTGATCTTACTACGGCATGGCTCTACATGACGGGCTACCTTTCAACCAGCTACTACTGGAACGAAAAATTAAGAAGAAACAACAAAAACAACAATAAAAACAAACTACTATCGTTTACAAATCTACAATCTACAATTGGTAGATATTAATCAAATGATACTCAAGAGTATTATGCTAGCGATTACTTGTTTGAAAAGTTGTTCATGGAAAACTGTATTGGAAAGTTGTCACTTGATCATTTACATCTCAAACAATTAGATAATGGTATTGATGTAAAAATATTAGATATTAAATATACTTTTTATTAGTTAACAAAAAATAAAAATTTATCTAAAAAAATAATTGAAATTTGCATACTTATAGGATTTATTCAAAAAAATTTCACAGTCTACATGTTTTTTTATCTCTTTCAAACAGAAACACACTCTTTAATTATAATTATTTCTCTTTAAAAAATTAAATGTAAAAGAATACCATTGGCTTTTTTAGTTGAATTCATCATCAAAGAATATTACGATATACTTTTGTATATTGAAACAAATGAAGCTATATTAATAGGAAAATTTCAACCTTGAATTTAAGGAAATCAATCAAAATGAAAACTTAATGGAAAAATTTCTTATTTTGCAGAAATTACATAAATATCATTCAAAAAATTTTACAATTTTAAAATAGATGAAATCTATAATGTATAATCAATATAAAAAAAAAACTCGATATTAATTTAAATAAAAATAATTACTCATTTTATTTTTTTTTAATATTATTAATTATTAAAGTTTAAATTAAAAATGTAATTAGAAATTAAAGTCCTTATATTTAATTTCCTTAATATACCATAGTATATATCGTGTACCAACCTTGAATAAATAAACGAATAAATTTAATTATTCTATTATATAAGCATTTCTCATATCGTTTTCATCAATATTTCAGGAAATTCATAGTTCATTTTGAAGTAAAGATTTAAAAATTGTATACGCTTATCAAAATTAAAGCAAAAAGCAATTATTCGGCTCAATGTCATAGTAATTCGTCGGAATCTTAATTTCAGTTTGTATGAAAACTTGTGTAAGAGTACCAGTACCGAATCTTTTAACTATGTTATTTTTCTATATCAGAGTCATGCATATTATTAATTAACATTAATATAAATTCTATAGTACAATATCGAGGTATTTGAATATTATATTTTAAAATATTTTTAATATATTCATACTTTTTATGAATATTATAAAGTTTATAAGAATAAAATATATATTTTTCTTTCTGTCTGAATTTATATAAATATTCATAGATGAATAGTTATTGGTTTATAATTTATTTAAGTTTAATTTGAAGTTAAACAAAACTTCTCATTCTATATTTACTATATTAAATATAAAATTTTTATCTATATAATTATATGCTTTATAAATGCTGTATAACTTTTATAGTTTCATCTACATAATGTTAATGTATGTATGTATACCAATATAATAGTAATGGAATTGCTATACATACTTTGGACCAGTATACCCATAATCTACGACAAAAAAAAAAAACTAAAGTATACATAGTAAAGAAAAACAAAGCAAAACAAAAAATAAAAAATAAAATTTTAGGGAAAATTCATAATTTTGATAAGAGAAAATTATAATAATAAAAATTATAAAAGGCAATAAAAAAAAAAAACAATCATCCATGAGTTTCTAAAAATTTTCTTTTATATTCTGAACTTAAGTTAGAAAAATATTCGGACTCCAAGAAAATTTTTTGTAGATTTTGTCAAAAGGAATAATAGTAACAACAAAAATAAAAAGAAAAATAATTTTTTTTTTTTTATTTTTCATACAAAAAAGAGAAGGATATGGAAAATTTTGTGAATCTCTTTAAGAAAAGAAAATATTATTTTCGTAATTTTAAACTACTTATTACAAAAATTGTTGTCATGGTATAATATAATTTTATTTTATTAATTCAATTCTATAAATTCAAATTTCAAAATGAAAATTCTTTTAAATACACACTTACCATTGAAATGTTAAGCTCTGAATTTCTCTGAAGACTCCAAATCAATGTCATACAATATTACAATTTTGAAGCTAAAAAACGAATTAAAGAAATTCTTTACAATATTTTCTTACATACATATAGCTAGTATTTAATATTTTTAAGCATTATTATATGCAATAAGAGTAAAAATTAGCATAGGCTGACAAAATCTTTGAAAATTCTATGAAAATGTTCATATATTTAAAGACGTAGATATTGAGTTCATATATAGTTCTATTCAGTACATATAGAATTTCTTTGAAGTGTTATTAAAATTTATAGAATTTTAAGGTAAGTGGCAATCTTATGCACATTATTTTTTGAATATTTATTATGAACCAAATTTTAATAGTTTTAGCTAGCAAATTAATCTATGCTATAAGAAAATCCAAAATTTATTGATTAAAATCAGTGTAATGTTCATCCTTAAGATTAATTCACTCTTAGTATGTGATTTAAAAATAACCATATAAAAATAATTCGAATCTATGAAAATTTTAAAAGCTACAAACACAAACGAAAAATATATATGAATTTGGAAAAATTTTTATACATGTATTTTTTTTCTTTGTTACCATATCCTTGAGTTTGAATTTAATTTTTCTGTGAATTATCAAGATCTCCGTTTTTAGTAATCAATATTGTACTTGAAGAGTTTGAAAATTATATTTTTCTTCATTACATAGCTTACATATCTTAAAATTAATTTAAATATATTTTAATAAAAATTTTAATATTAATTAAAGTAGCAAGAAAGAAAACTCAACATTTTTTCAAAAATGCTATTTTTATAAATAAATAATAGAATATTCAAGAGCATTCCAATTGCAGAAATTTTTAACACATATTTGTATATAAGAATATTAAATGCATACATTTAAAATGAAACCTTTCAAAAACACTTTTGTATTCTATAATCTTCCATATATGTATGAAACAATAACTTTAAAATCCATAAGAAGTGTATGGTATAAAAATTTGATTCGTAAATCCTCACACCATATCTTGTTTACCCTTGCAATTTTTTTTTTTTGTGTTTACATGTATGTCTCATTTATTTAAGTAGATTGTAGATTGTTAAGGGATACCGAGTGGATCAGAAGTACCCCCCCTAGCCACCGCAGCCATTCGCGACATAATGTAGCCTACACACGACCCCACTTACCATATCCCCACTCCAAGTATGAATTGTATAATTTCAGTACCGGGCAGTTGCAAAGAATTTGCACGACTGTCTCATCACCGCTCCTAAAAAATCTGCACAGGGAGGAATTCGATTTCCCCAGCCTATGCAGGTG